ACGAGGTACTAAGTCGTGACCACGAGTTACTATGTCGTGGCCACGAGTTACTAAGTCGTTGCCACGAGTTACTACCTTGTGGCCACGAGTAACTAAGTCGTGGCCACGAGATAGCTAAGTCGCGGCCACGAGATAATATGTCGTGGCTGCGAGTTACTAAGTCGTGGCCACGAGTTACTAAGTCGTGGCCACGAGATAGCTAAGTCGTGGCCACGAGATAGCTAAGTCGTGGCCACGAGATGCTATGTCGTGGCCACGAGTTACTAAGTCGTGGCCACGAGATAGCTAAGTCGTGGCCACGATGTACTATGACACATCAATAAGTTGTATAAATGGCACTTTTACAGGCTTGTAAAGAAGGGGCATCCTTGTACTATAGCTAATGTCTAGTTAATTAGGAAAATTCATATAAATGATGTAATCTGACTGGTTATATATCTCGTGGCCACGACTTAGCTATCTCGTGCCCACGAGTTAGTAACTCGTGGCCACGACATAATATCTCGTGCCCACGACTTAGCTATCTTGTGGCCACAACTTAGTAACTCGTTGCCACGGCATAGTATCTCGTGCCCACGACATAGTATCTCGTGCCCATGACTTAGCTATCGCGTGGCCACAACTTAGTAACTCGTGGCCACGACATAGTATCTCGTGGCACCGACTTAGCTATCTCGTGGCCACGACTTAGTAACTCGTGGCCACGACATAGTATCTCGTGGCCACGACATAGTATCTCGTGGCAACGACATAGTAACTCGTGGCCACAACTTAGCTATCTCGTGGCCACGACTTAGTAACTCGTGGCAACGACATAGTAACTCGTGGCCACGACTTAGCTATCTCGTGGCCACGACTTAGTAACTCGTGGCTACGACATAGTATCTCGTGGCCACAAGGTAAATAAAAACACACACATTTGTGCCACCGTACAATAGCGACAATGCAAGAAAAGAAGTTATCAATTCGGTCTTAGCGGATGTTTGTTTAAAATGGCATGTTTATAAATAATGAACGAATAATAATCATAATACAAAATAATAAAAAAATAAATAAAACGAAATAAAATATACGTGTAAAGCTTTTTAATGATAATTAAATAGTTTAAATTTAGTTTAGTTTAAATAGAACCATAATTAAAGTTACGAAAAGAAAAAAAGTTCATTTTTTTAACTTATTCTTATCGGGTTTCCAAAAACCAAGTCTACCGATAGTCTATGCGCATACAAATGAGCCGTGTCACGACAAAACCAACATAGTGTGTTTCCGACCAGCATGGTTCCAGTTCAGTCTGCGCATCCTCGCAGTCTGATCAGGATCCATGCTGTTCGCTATCAGTTAATCTACTTATAATAGGGTTTGTAAGCTAACAGCATGGATTCTGATCAGACTCCGCGGACGCACTTTGTTGGTTTTGTCGTGACGCGGCTCAAATAATTATTTATATCTGCATTGTCCATTGAATTCACCCAGACAAAACAAAACAAAATATCTTTATACTACTAACGAGAACTTATCACGCTTTTCATGCATTCTTAAACACATTCAAAATATTTAAGGCAGATGATATGTTTAGCTTGTACTGAAAACCGTGTTCTAATATTTAAAAACTGATTGTCACTCTTTTATTTGTAGGTCAATATTCAAATGCAAATCTATACCTTTGTTCCTAAGTCGAATTTTAGGAAACAAACCATAAATCAATTTGACATTTAGAAAATGGAGCTTTAAATACACACCCATATTATGTACAAGGTAGACCAAGCGTTACAAATTGAATCTACAAATTTAAGATTTTCAACACTTAAATACGAAAATGATACTACATTTGTTGACCTTGTCGTCTAAATGTCATTAACAATGTAACTAGTTGCGTATTTAAAATATTATATTACTTAAGATTATCAGTGTGATTATCAGATACACATTGTATTGGTAGTATGTCTGATCTAATAATGCCGTCCTTACTTGATGATCGTGTTTTTCATATTTTATACATGCGATATTTTTTTCCAATTTAGTTAACGTTATTTAAATTATACATTAATATGATCCGCGTCACGACAAAGCCAACATAGTGCGTTTGCGACCAGCATGGATCCAGACCAGCCTGCGCCTCCGCGCAGTCTGATCAGGAGCCATGCTGTTCGCTATCAGTTTCTCTACTTGTAATAGGGTTTGTAAGCGAACAGCATGGATCCTGATCAGACTGCGCGGATGCGCAGGCTGGTCTGGATCCATGCTGGTCGCAAACGCATTACGTTGGTTTTGTCATGACGCGGCTCATATCTATATATTAAACGTTATAATTATGTTAATCTAAGACTAGTGTAATTAAACTTGTAGAAATATTAAATGCTAAAAAGACAATATTCTGAAAAACCTGGCTTGTTATATGTGTTTTTTTCCCATTTTCAATTATGTCTGTTAATTATAAGTATTAACTATGTCTATGTAAAATGATTATGTACTTATTGCAAATGTCTTGAAAAAACTGTTTGTTCTGTATGATTGTTTGTGTGCGATAAGACACAATTTACGAGAAATACATACATATTTATTTCATAGGAGTACATCGAATTCATCATGTATTGTACAATTTTATCGTTGAAAGCCACATGATGGTTGTTAGTACATGATAAATGTGTTCATCTTAAAGTAAATAATAACTAGAACAGAAAAAAAGTCAGGGAGATCACCGTGTATGTATTATACCATTTCAATACCAGCTATTCATTGTCTTATCTCCCTTATAAGGTAATAACTTAAAATAAAATCGTTTATGTACGGTGTTCCGTTTGGACAATCTGCATTTTTCTTTTTTGTCTGTACCAGCGATGCACGATAGTACGATGGTGAAAACGCGATGGTAAGATAATACGATGGTGAAAACAAGATGGTACGATGATGAAAACGCGATGGTACGATGATGAAATCGCAATGGCGCGATAGTACGATGGTACAAACGCGATGTTACGATGATGAAAACGCGATGTTACGATGGTGAAATCGCAATGGCGCAATAGTACGATGGTGAAAAAGCGATTTTATATCGCGTTTTCACCATCGTACCATCGCGATTTCACCATCGTACCATCGCCTATCGGTCAGTATGACTAGTACACATACAGAAAGATGTCAAATTCTGATACGGCAGATAATAAAATGGTGAAAACACGATGACACGATGTTGAAAACGCGATGTACGATGGTGACAACGCGATGGTACGATGGTGAAAACACGATAGTACGATCGCGTTTTCACCATCGTACCTTTGCGACATCGTGTTTTCGTCCCGCGACCCGCTGTTTTATTTCTTAAATCTGGCTCCGCGGCCCCGCGGGGCGAAGTTTTATTTATTAAACTTCGCCCCGCGTCCTCGCTAATTAGCGTGTTTTCGCTGCACGCCCCCGCCATTTTAACTTGTTAATTTTCGACTTTTCGCTTGGCGGGGTCGCGGGGCGAAAACACGAATGGCACAAATCAGCCACCATAATTTATATATATAATTTTCAAGCCTTAGCGACAGTAGGGTGCGAAATAGAACAGCTTCGTAGGACAATCGGCAACGGAAGAAAATCCACTTGCAAAAAAAGCGGAAGTGATCCCCCTTAATTTATGTTGGAGTTAATCGGCTACCTGATACCTGTTTTGTCGCTTAAACAACTCAGGCCCACGTCCTTCGTTGCCTCATCCAATGAACAGGAATGGTTGAAAATAGAAAAGTTTACTCAATGAAAAGGTTATGGTCTTGATTATGCATTAAGTTAACTGATTGACAAAGCAGAAGTGTAATTATTATGATTTAATCATTTAACATTTAGTTAAAAGTTGCATACATGAATCAATATGATTAAATTGCAATGTAAAAAAATCGCATAACAATTGTCTTTCAATATTAACATGTCCTAAAAATTCTAAATCAATTAACATTACAATTATCGATACTTTTTCTAAGACTTGTTTAGAACAGCTGATTGCTATATTAGAACTGTTATATGTCCCATGAACTCATTCTTATTCAAGTTATTTGTTCACTTGTCCTTTCAATTTTTCTATATTTACTTGGCAATTCTCCTCCTTTTAAATTCAGGCAATTTCCGGCAATTAGGGCAATACCATTTCCCTTTTGGCGGCTTCTCAATATTTACACACCTGTAATGAAACCATTCTATCGTACACTCTGAATTGTCACATGCGATCATATCTCCATGCTCCACTTGACTACATAAACAATAAAGTTTTTCAGATGAGTCATGGATATCACTATTACATGTACTTGGTACTGACTGTATATTGATGTTTTCTACAGCCTTAACTTTAAGAACTGATGCGGGCACTGTAGTAAAATATTTCCCTACAAGTTCGGGAAGAATAGCAACTCTGAAGGTTTTATTCGATTCACTAATAATTTCATTCCAGATGCTTTCTTCAAACATTATTGTCTCAATATGACAACTCTTTTCTGTCCATACCACAAAATAAGCCATTTCCATGTTAGTAACACCAAGCTGAGTCTGAATTTGGTAGAAATACTGTTGGTCTTTTTTAAGTTTAAGTTGATTTCCATCAGCTTCAGTCAAGTATTTACAGTTGTCAGCGTTAATTTCCTCCTTTCGAATATTATAGGGTCACTTTATCTCTACAACTGCTGACCCACAGCAGTCGCATACAAATATCCCATCAGGCGATGCTCCCACAGCAGGATAAGCTGTACTAATAATAAATCCGCTGTCCTCAATTCGATTGTTGTCATGCATGGGACCAATTTCAGCTACAAACACGTCCCTTGCTCTTTTCTCCTGATCAAGACCCCATTTTGTGGCGGCAGACTGGAAAATGTTTGTTTCAGGGTAGCAAATTGATTTAATTAAGCTTTGCGATGGGTTTTCTTTGTCCATTGTACATATAGCTTTTGCTTTAGATGCAGTGATTCTACCTGCTCTAAACTTGAACCACATTTTTTATTTTGATTGGCTTTTTGTATGGAGTTCTACGTTTTCTGCTTGTTGCTTGCTACAATGTACTTGAATTGAAGAGCATTCTTCTAAAATTTCCTTCAAACTAGCACCAATAAGTTTGTCATTTTTCAAATCTGTTAGTACACTAGGAAAGTCAGTAACATCAAATTTTGGCACATATTTGTCGGAGTAAGGTTCAATAAGCGACAGTATGGCAGGTTTTGAATCAAGTTTGCTTAATTTCTCGGCAAATGCCATAAAATCAGAAAATGAAGCTTCTGGGACACTTTTGGTTTTTCTAACTGAGGGTGTCTCACTAATAGCTGGTGATGACACTGAGTCTAACTGTTTATCTAGCTTTTTTTGGCAGTTCTTGCAGATACAAAGTTGATCTCATTAACTTCCTTGTAAGAAATTGTTTTACTGTCAGATGGTAACAGCCAGTATGCCTTTTCCTGAGTTACTGTTTTAGAGTCTCTTTTTTTTACAGTGGCCTCTATGGAAAAAAGGAGAGCAGCAACATGGGTGCAAGCCTCTCCAAGACCCGCCATACAGTTACAGTGTGCAGCAACTATCTTCCCATCTTTCTCAACAATGACCCAGGGTCTCAATGGCTTTTCCCTCATTCTTTGGGAGTGAAGAACCTGAAATTCAAAGACATAAAAATGTAAACTTCCTTTTTTCCTTAAAGACATGAGGTAGAATAAAATGGAAGAAGAAATCCCCCTTTTTCTTTGTTTAGAAATTTAATCATTCTTTTTGTTCTTGTTTTTATTTAAATATTTATCTCAAATTATACATGCTACATTTGAATACGCATGATAAAATGCGTCATTTATATGTTAATAAGCCTCATGTGTCAAATGCGTCATGTCAAGGTGCATGACGGGATTATGCGACAAAACTATGATGTCCACAACATCATTTCAGTATGCTTTTCATTATAAAGTGTCATATATATATATATACCATTACCAGCTACAGATTATGAATACAAGAATATATTATTGGCTATGCACAGCTCTGCTTATTTTCCTTTTTATTGAATTTCATATGTATAAAAAATATATAAGTATGCTATGTCTAAATTAAATACATACTTTTGCTGTAACAACCACATACTGCCCATGAACTATCCCAGACTTTTCTCTGACCCATCCAGATACAAATTGATTATTAGCATCAAGAGACTTATAAGCTTTGAGATCATCGGCACTATAAGCACTTGGAGTGAAAAGTAAGTAATTCACAATATCAGGATAAGTAATTGCCGGTAATATGTTCACATTATCTGACCAAGCCAACTTCCCCTCGTACGGATCAAGTCCACCAACAATTGATAATTTGGCTTCATGTCGTTGTTTTACGTCAGCTGAAAGCCCATCTCGATATTCTGCTGATTTACAGTTTTTTCCTTTACAGTTTGCCATTATTTTTATGATTTATACTTTAAATCTAATCACATAATGTCCATTTCTATCTAACTTTATCTCACACCTTGTTTACAATTTAAGGGTAGAAATCTCCCTTTCGTGAAATCCCTCTATTCATACACACCAAAACTCGGAATAGCCGAATAAAACACCGCCAAAACGTTAAAACTGGCCAACCAAATAAAACATTGGAATACATACTACGTCATTAATGTAAACATTTAAAGATTAAATATAAGCTTGTGTTAAAGTTGTATATAATACGTTTAACCCTAATATTTTTAATAATATTGTTTAACATTTAAAGTTAAACAAAACTCATTTGTGTAAAAACAACAGTTTGAAAAATATTGTATAGGATTTACCTAAAACTATCATGTAATTTTAAAGATGTTCTAGTGCAAAGTTGTCCATGGATATATGACAACATTATGACTTACAAAATGTGTTGGATATAAAATTGGTTATGGACTTATTTTATAAACGGACCAGAGAAGTAAGTAATAAGCTAAACTATTTGAATGATAAAAGTTTATGAAATGATTTTTGAAAATTCGTTCGTTGTATATTTCAATCGCTATCGTGTCAAGTAGATCTAAATTGTGTTTACAAAATACTGACTTAACAGTCCACTTACACTTACGGCTGTTTCCATGTTAGCAATGTCAAAATAGAGAAAAATAGAATCCCTAGAGATCGTTCAAAATGGCTAAATACTCTGTTTGCATATATCTGCTGATGTCAAAATTCACCATTTTCAAGTTTAAATGTTGAATTCTGCATAAGCCGGTGCGAGGGGGCGTGGACGGTAACTTGCACTTTCTATTACCGGCTATGAACAGACTCAATCAAAACGGGCCTGCAACATTTTTAATTTCAACGTGTTGGGAATCCTTCAGGGATTCTGTTTTTCTCTATTTTAGTTTTTTCACACTATTAAGGTGACATTTTGTGCCCCTTCTTGTTGTTGTTGTCTCGTCTACGGTAAGTATCTTCACTGTACCCACTAGGTTTTGCTTATTTTAACTTTGCACCCCTCTTCCCCGACCTCAAGTCCCCATCCCCTACAACTTTTACTTTTCCTACTTACTCCTTTGTATAGTTCACATAAAGAAATAAAACAATTTTCAATGATACATCATGCTCATCTGTAAAACCATTGTGTTTATTTCGTTTAAATACTGAATACCTATCGTACAAAAGAGAGTTATTAAAATGTTCGTTTATTCATTAACAGTCATATAACGTAAAACTCGCTGTTTCTGTATAATCTCAAATTTAAAAGCATGTAATTAATGATAAACGCATATTTTACTGTACCTTCAACTTTACAGCAGTATTAGTTGGAATGAGAATATTTCATTTTAAATGCATACAGGTGTATAGTGATGATTTATTTTAAAAAAATCTGTTTGCAAAGTATTGGATGATATTTACTTTTTTCCATTAAGAAAAAGCTCGTTGTAAAGTGAATGAAATAATCGTTGTTATTGTGTACTTTTTGAAATCGTCTTCATTGAAAATAAAGACATGTCGTGACAAGACATATTTGTGCTTACGGTGAATAAATAACTTGCTAAATAATAAAAAGGCTCGGTTTCCTATATCATATTTTACATGCTTCATTCACGCACTTGATTCTTTTCAACTATTTGAATACCTTGATCTATTTGACTGATATAGATATATATATGGTGGATGACTTGTGCAATGCGTGTCTTCGTGGGGCGAAAACACGAATGGCACAAATCAGCCACCATAGATATATCCAATGAAAATTGTTTTATACAACATTAAAAAAAAAACAGTTAAATATTCCATAATCTTCTCGTCGATTGCCGAAAGAGTTGTTACGTTAAATGTTTTTATTATTTAACAAAAATGTGTTGTTCTTAAACCAAATAAAATATAATATAATATAAATAAAATATTTCGGAACGTAATGTTTTGCTGCAGTTTTAAAGTAATGTTTTAGCAATGATTTTGTGCATGTGTTATTCGCTCTTTAAGGTACGTTATGGCCAAACATGCTTTTAATTTTATTTCTCAAAGTTTATTTTTAAAGTTTTGGTATCTACAAACCATAGTGTGCTTCTGTTGCGTTTTGTCAATCAATAAAGTTGTAGTAATATATAATGAAGTAGTTTTATGGAAGTCAAAAAATTACTTTGTACATTTTGCTACATGCATTACGCATAATTCGACATTAAAAGTTACTTTTTCAGGTAATGATCATCTAACATGCTCCAAAACGAATGTTTACCCTTTGTAAAAAATGAAAACAGATATTGCATCTCTAAGGCATATAACGCTTTTAAGAAAAAATACCAAAATATTTAATTCACACATGTATTTTGGCATATTTCTTTTTATGTGTTGCCTTCACGGGATAATGGCGACATATATAGATCATTTCTCCGTCGTAGACTGTCTGTCCGTATAAACATAAAGATACTTAGGGGGTTATCGAAACAAAAGGTAACCGTAAATTTCCCGGAAGAGAAATTTGTTTATCCCACGCCCACACAATAAATAAATAAATAAAATAAATAAATGAATAAAAAAGTAAAGAAATAAAAAAGACACGCGCACATACATGCCCGAACGTACGTACGCGCATACATACACACGCACACACACGCATCTATGTGTGAGTACGTGTTTGTGCGGGCGTGCGCACGCACGTGTTTTTAGCTCACCTGAGGACACCCATCGTCCGTGCGTCGTCCGTGCGTCAACAATTTCTTTAAACAACTTCTCCACCTAAACCACTTTGCCAAATTTGTTGAAACTCTCAAGGATGTTCCTTGCATGAAGCTCTACCAAACTTGTTCAAAGAATTAAATTCCATGGCAACCAAAATATTTTTTACAAAAAACTTAAAAGATTTTCTCGTAAAAAAACTTAGATATTTGGCATGAAACATCTTCTAGTGGATGCATACCAATTTTGTTCAAATAAAAGCCTAGGATCAAAATTGGCCCGCCCCGGGGGTCATTGATTTTCCTTATATGTATATAATGAAAATTAAAAAGGTTTTCTTGTAAACAAAAAAATCCAAAAGAGGTAGAGCTTAGATATTTAGCACGAAAACATGTTCTAGTGTATGTCTACCATGTTTTCTAGGTTTACAAATTAACCCGGCCCAAGGGAATTGAAGTAGACAGTTCAATCCCAAATAGGTCAATGTTTGTTTTCCTGCTCACCTTTCACTTAGTGACAGGCTGAACTGTAAAAATAAAATGGCGGCCACAACTAAAATTTGAAAACAACTACATCTAAACCACTGGTTTAATTTTGAAATAAATTTACACAAAAATTTCTTTGGTGACAGAACACAAAATTGTTCAGATTAAGCTGTCCCTTGTTTTCAAATTGTGCGTCTGGGGTGAAACGGGACTCTAGTTTTATCTTTTGACCTATTTCTCAGGTGAGCGATCCAGTGCCTTCTGGACCCTCTTGTTTTATCTATTTATTCATTTTATTTTTTATTTTATTGTACTATCGTTCAAAAGAGAGTAATTAACACGTCGCGCCTATTTTTAGTAAATTAATATGTACAACAGAGCTGTAACTGGAAAAGGTTGTATGTAACCAAGGGTCAGAAAGGGAAAAGTCTATATAAACAGAGCTTTAGATATAAGTGTTTTATATGTAATTGTTTACTTTCTTCACCCCAAAAATAGAAAATAAGGGCCCCTTTTATGCTTTTAATAAATTAAATTAAATTTCCATTTAAAAACTGGCAAAAGTTGTAGTCTAATTTGTTTTTATACCCTTAAAAAAAATTTCTTAAAATAAACGGGGGAAAAAAACCCCCCCCCGCTTAAAAAAAGACCCAATAATGAAAAGACCCCTTTTTTTTGGTTTTTTATTTTTTTTTAAAGGGAAACTATCACGAAAACTTTAACTTAAAAAATCATTTTTCAAGTATAAAAATTAATTTGTCAATAACGTCATTTTAAAAGACCAATTAGACTTTTTTTATTTAAAAAAAAGAAAAAGATATCGTTTTAAGGTCAAGTTTGTATTTTATTTTAATGAAGGCATCTTTAAAATTTCTTTTTTTACGTTTTAATTTAAAACCCAAAAATTTTAAAACGACCCCCGAAACCCAGCCTTCAAAAAATTATTGATTTACCTTTTAAAAAAGGGTTGATAGAATTTTCAATGAATTTTGGGTGAAAAAATAGATTTTTTCGTTGAAAAGGTTTGACAGAAACAATTTTGGGAAAAAAATATATGAAAACCGGGAGGGGGATTATGGATTTCTTTTAATACTATGATAATTGCTTTTTCATTTTCCTTCTTTTTTTAAAATTTTTTGCCTCGACTATTCCCATAAAAAAGTAAGCTATTGGTTTGCACCCCAGCTCGGGGGTTCGGCGTCTGCTCGGCCGTAACCACTTATGATAAAGTTTTCGTAATAGTTCAAATTTTTTTCAAAGTCCATTGATATATGGCTTTGAAAACTTTGCACACTTGTTCACCATCATTTACCCCAAACCTCTGTAAACAGGAGGAGGTAACTGTATCAAGCATTTTGACAGAAATTATGCCCGTTTTTATACTTAGAATTTACGTTAAAGTTTTTGTAATAGTTCAAAATATTTTCAAAGTCCATTGACATATGGCTTTTAAACTTTGCACACTTGTTCACCATCTTTACCCCAACCTGTTAACAGGAGGAGTTAACTGTATCAAGCATTTTGACAGAATTATGCCCCTTTTTCGACTTAGAATTTACGTTAAAGTTTTTGTAATAGTTCAAATATTTTCAAAGTCCATTGACATATGGCTTTGAAACTTTGCACACTTGTTTCACCATCATTACCCCAACCTTGTAAAATCAGAAGGAGGTAACTGTATCAAAGCATTTTTTTAACCAGAATACTATGCCCCTTTTTTCGACTTAGAATTTTATTGTTTAAGTTTTTGTAGAATACTCAAATATTTATTTCAAAGTTTCATTGACAGATTTAAACAGGAGGAGGAGTATCTGTTATCAAAGCATTTTCTTTTTTACTATAAGCACTAAGAAAACTAGTCGAGCAAGAACGAG